TAACCAAGCAGGTTAAACTGCTGCTGTGTGTTTTACTTGAGTTGAAATCCTTTCCTAAATTCCTCCTGTCTCAATCATTTCATACCAAACTCGTCTGCACTTCTGGAGCTCAGTCTCATATTAAGAAAGGTCGAATAAGGTGACCAGGGCAGACATTGGATTTCTTTATCAACATTGTTTTTTGCTACCAGGCTTGCAGTTTTGCAGCAACACTCAGTGATTGCTCTTAAACTGCTTTGGAGTGCAGTAATTGCCTGCACCTTTTCTGTCAAGGTATATTGTAGGTCCTTACCACATAGCCTGGAGTACAGCTGCTGTCCATAAACCAGAAATTGAGCTACTGTGTCCAATGGCACCGTGACTCATCCTTCAAAGGAGATATTAATCATGTTCTGGACATTTTTGTATTACTTGGAGATAATTTATTTTGGTTTTCCTATTTGATTTCCCTAAGGTTATTTCAAGACATCTGTTACATTCCAGCTTATTCAGAGTTGGTCTGCAGAGAAGTCTGGAGAGTCAGAGCACAGAGAACTTTAAGTCTCATAATTTTCCTCTAATAAATGAAATAGCCACAATAAAGCCAAGGCTTCACTACAAACCCCTCCTTCAGCTGTGTACTCATTGATTTTGGGGGGCTCAACCCTGCCTTGGCCCCATGTGTTGTAAAAGATGCTTCTGAACAATTGTGTCTGGTGGCAGATTGCCCCCCACAGGTACAGCTTAAAAGAGGAAGGACAGCAGCTCCACAACATGGGCTCGTGTGGATTGCCTCCAAAAATACACCTCCAACCTCCAAGTGAGCTGAGCCATTGCAGCAATGGGGGAGGCAGGAGCAGAGTTACAGGAGATGGGCAGCTATGGCAGGATCAGACCAGCCTCAAAGTCCTTATGACATGAACTTGAAGAGTTCAAGATGGACTTAGCAAATAAATTTAATTGTTATTTCTATTTTTAAAATTTTAATAATGTGAGCAATGTGTTATTTATTTTGTGAAATTGCAGATACTTCTCTTTAGTGCCATTTTGCTTACTTGGAAAAAATCACATCCTTTTTTCTTGGTACAGAAGAGCTTGGAAAACAATTACTACACATCCCACACCCAAGCATATGTAAAAGATTCCTGAGAAGCATGTGATCAATTCATGTGTTTTGTGAAATCAAATTATCTTCAGATATTATGCACAAAATTTCCCAGAAAGAAAGAAACTTAACCTCAGTTTATGGTGATAGAGCATTCCTCTATTAAAGGAGGAATGGAGCATTCCTCTATTAAAGGAGAAATGTACTCCTGTGCAGGTGCCTTCATGACTCTTTGTGAAAGTAAAAGCTACTGTCACTACCTGCACCACATGGTCTGTGGTACTCAGATGCTTCTTCCAAACTCTCAGTATACAGTACTTCAGAAATGCACACGTACTTTAAACTTCGGATTCTTCCCTTTTTAATACCACTGCAATGGAGCTGAGGTCAGCAGCATGACTTCTGAAGGTATATCCATGAAAAGAAGAGGGAATTACAGCCTGAAGCTGCCACCAGTTTGCTGAGAAGAGCCAAGGGCAGGAGCCAGCTGAGGAAGGGGTGCTCAGTTTGTGAGGCTGGGGCTCCATCTCAGAGTGAAGCAGAAGTAAGGGGCAACTCTTAGAACAGAAAGTGCAAAAAGTAGTCAAGATTTTGGCAATACTGCATCTCTGAATGGTAGAAATCTTTTAACAAGCTTTAGCTCTGGGAAATTTCTACAGCTTTGAGTGAGAAGTAAGGGATCCTTCAGGCCCAGTGCAAAACCACAGAGATCCAAGGCTTTGAAACCTGACAGGTTTCTCAGCTTTCTGATGAACCACATGGTACATGGTATCAGGTGTTTGGCCTCTTCTATGCCACTGATACCACTGGGATTTGGCCTTCCTGTCTCTGGAAGAATTACAACCAAAAAGAAGCAGAAGAAAAATTTTAAAGTCCATTTTCCTATTCCCTCTAAGGGCTACTTCACAGGGGATGTGAAAATTTCTCCCCAGAAAAAGGGAAGGAGGTTTCATTTCTTTATTCTCTTACCTAGTGGGTTCTTTGGGGATTTCCATTTAAAAAGAGAAATCACAATTAAATACAGTCTTCCCATCAGAAAACTATACTTCCCTAAATCACCAAATATCAACAGAGTTTGTATGAGGAAAAGAAATAGTAAAACAATGAACCACCTTTATTTGGCACTGCAATGCCAAGAAAATTCTAAAGGGCTTTTTTTGTCTATATGGACCACAGGGGCTGGGCAACAACCTCTGTACCATCATCATGACACCAGGGAAAGCCTCCTGGGATCCTGACTGAAAAGCAGGATGGAATGAGAATGGCTTTACAGAATATCCAGGGACAAGAAGCAGCTGGCAAATTTATTCAAAATAGTAAGCTGGTTGCAACTTGAATTTTGCTATGTTGCAACTTGAATTTTAACTGAAGGAAGGCTCTCCATAAAACTCTATATGTCAAGGCAAATTCAGATTTCAGTTTTCATCTGAATGCATTAACTGTGTGGAGTCTAACAAGCTGAAGTGAGGTAAGGAGAGGAATTTGTTCCTTCTCTTTGAACACTTTAGGAGGAGCCAGCTCTCTGCAAGGGACAAACAGCTCTCACTGCAGCATGGCACACAGATCACTGCTGATGTGTCAGCCCAGAAAGGAAAGAGATTTTCTGTAGTTAAAGAATAGATGTTTGGAAAAGCCCTGCCAGTCCACAGTGGCCATCAGATTTATTCAGCTGGGGTGTTTTACATATTTTCAGGAGTGTAACACCCAACTTCCAACTTACTTGCATTTCATATCAAGAGAGTATCTCTGGGGGTGCTCAGAGGTCTCCTACCCTGACACTTACAGAATACCAGGGATGAGTGAAGGTAACATCATCAATCTGAGGCAATCCAGACATATCAGCTTACTTGTCAAGGAAGCTCAAGTTCTAAAATCTTTTAAAGCATTTAGATATCTTTTAATTTTATTTCTGAAAATAGTTTAGAAGGCAGTATAGTAATGTAGTTAAAAAGCTAAAAAACTAATTAATTTCCTAAGGTATTAGATTACTCTGTGACACAGAGGATTTCCATCTCCCCTTGTACTAGGTACAGTTCTTTGGCTTTATTAACACAAATTCATTCAATTTCTTTTAAACTTAAAATCTGGGGTACTTACCCTGAATGTGAAAGGAAGCAAAAGAGAGACCACTTCTGTACCTGGTGTGCTCTTGTCAACACAGTGCAGGATGGAGAACTGAGAGGCTTTCTACCAATTGGCGTGCAACACTGACAGAACTCAAGCTAAAAATAATGTGAATATCCACCACAGGAATGCATGAGCCTCATGGCTGTTGGGATTGTTGCATGTGAAGGCAGCTCTCCTGCTTTACAAATGAGACCTGAATTTTAACTACCCTCCTCCACTTACTTTGCAACTTGTATGAAAGTGGTGGAAACTGATTTAATTCTTGCTTCCACCAGGAAGCTTTTCTCCCAACACATTCTTTGCATTAAGGTAGTGATAAATTAGAAAATGCAAGCAAGTTGGAAAAGCATGGCAGCAAAGTCTCTCCAGATAGCCTAGCTCAGTGACATTTTTGTACTGCATTTTACTTTGCCTGTCCTAAAAGAAATCTGATTTTATGGCACAGGACATGAGTGAAGAAGTAACATTTCTATAAATTACATATTTTAGGATGACATTATTTGATTTTTTAAACTTTTATCCAAAGGAAAACTTGGATCATCAAAAACCAATTCCCCACCATGAAAAATCTAAGTCCTAAGTCAAGTTCAAATAGCTAAGTAAAGAAAAGGTTTCTCTACCCTGCAGCTAGCTCTTGCCTCTGTATTCTTAATTGAACACCTGAAGTTGTGGCAAAAGGTTTACTGCTCCTGCCCTCCCATGGGAGCACTGAACACTGAACATCTCTGCAACAGGATGCTCCCAGGAGCAGGCAGATGGGAGAGAAAGCTTCCCAGGAGGATGCAGCAGCCAGACAGGGAGCTGCACCCTGTGCAGGAGCAGTGCTGTGACAGATTGGGGTCTGGCCTTGAGATTAGAACAGTTTAAGAGATTCTGGCTTTAGAGTCTGTTTACAATGCAGAGGTATGTGAAGAAATATAGGAGAAGGAAGAACTATTTGAGGAACTATAAAAGTTCATTTGAACAAGGGGAAAGTGATGTTGCACACTGATCTGCAGAAACACAAGGTTTTTAGTAAAGAATAGAACAGTTTAACTGGGGAGCTGGCTTTGGGACAGAACTCAGTGGCAGAGGATTTAAATGTGTTCAGATAAATAAATAGCATGAAGTTATTTTTATTAACTCTTTTGAGTGTGTTTCAATGACTATTCTAAAACTCAGGTATTTCCAAATATTCCTTTGAAAGTGGAAATCATGTACCTTTTACACAGAGGGCTGGATTAGACGTGGCTGACGTTGAACTGGGTTAATTTTCACTCGCTCATGGCAGGCTTGGCTATCCAGCTGGGAATAGCATCGATCCCAGCAGCCACCTGCTTCCCTGGTTGGCTTTGGAAACAGTTTAGGAGTGACTTTTCAGTGTGACTGTTCAGGGAGGTGCATGAAAAGGAAACATAGCAGATGTCAGATGACTGGTGACCCCCAAATTCAGTGCCTTAAGTAGAGTGAGTTAACCAGGCTTAATCTGCCAATGCTTTTCACTTCCATCAAGACTTCCAGCTGGTGAAAGGCAGCTCCCCTCACTTGATCAAAGCACTGGCCTCCTCATCTGGAGGTGCTTTATTTCCCTATTGTGAGTCTGTAAATGATAACAGAAGGTGCAGAACCACAGGGGAGCTGAGGTAAAGCATCTGCAGGAAATATTAACTGAACTACATCATAAAAGCAAGATCTGCTGCCAGTCACAAGAGGAACCTTTTCAGTGCAAGTGAGATTACATAAATATTGGTGATCACAAGAGGACGCAGTACCTTAACCAGAGCAAGACCAGAAAATGTAAAGACCTTACTTGATTTTTCTTCTTTAATGTTGTACTCCAGCACACCAGGAGCCTCGTTCTGCACTGGCAAGCGGACTGCAAGGACCATGTTGCTCACATTACCCTCTTTTCTAACTAAGAATATCTGAAAAAGGAGAAAAGAATCAAGAGCTCAGCTATATTATGTGAGGTTCTAAACTATATTTTAGGTCATTGGCAATGTAGATTTTATCAGTTCAATCCACCTTTAAATAGCCTTATTTTAGCTTCATTCCATTTAGCTAAGCTTTATACAACAAAAAATAATGGAGAAAGGACATTTCATCTAAGTGAAATTCAGACCTGCGAAGGGACTCACAAAGTTTCTATGCATCACTGATGTCCCACTTATGCCTAAAGCAAACTATTTCACTAACTGAAGATCTAAAACTGTACTCAGTTTGTTAAGTGATGGTTCTCTCACCAGTGCCCTAAATCACAGATGAGTCACCCTAGAATGTCCCAGTCCAGGTCTAAAGCAAGGGAGTCACTTGTACATTCAGTTGGTAAGGATTTGAGTGTCCATGAGAGGAACATAAGGCCAAAGGATCTGGTGGCCACAGTGTCCATGGCAGAGCTTTTTATGGAACTATAAGATCATTCAGCCTGGCAGAAATCCTGGGAGAATCCTTCTCCAAAGCCCTGGGTGAAGCCATGAGGCCAGACCAAATTTCTCAGGGATTTGTCTGTACAAGTCTGGAGAGTGTCCAAAGCTGGAGACTGCACATCCCTCTTGGCAACCTGTCCCATCACTTACTGTCCTCACAGGGACAAAATGCTTCCCTGCACCCAGTCTGGACCCCTCTGGTTTCAATGTACACTGCTGCCTCTTGTCCTCCCACCCTACAGTGCTGAGCACAGCCCGGCTTCATCTTCTCCATGACCTCCCTGCAGGTGCCAGGGGTTGCTGTGTGGTCCCCTGAAGGTGTCTTCTGGCTGAACAAGTTCCACAGCCTCTCGGTCTGTGCCCAGCTCGCTGGCCACCATCCCTGCAGGCCCTTTCCCACAGAGCTGCTCCACCAAGCAAAAGGAAAAAATGCTTCATTCTTTGTATTATGTGAGATCCTAAGTGTGTTTCTAATTAAAGCTCATTGTCAGGGATATTTTTAGCTTGTATTTTGAAGGTGCCGATACAAAGACAAAATGATCTTCACTTTCATCTGTTCTTTGACAGTAAGCTTAGGCAGAAAGGAGTCAAATTTTTAAAAAACTGAATTAAAAAATCAAGCTAATTTTGTAGCCTGGATAATAATATTAGAAAGAGAAGTGTGAGTTGATAAAATCATTAATTAACTGTAATGTATAGAAATTTAGCAAAAAAACATTAATTTCTTGGGCAGATGAATGTTTAAAAAGCTTGTCTAAAACCCAGGACTTTTCTCTGCATGAGTCCCAGCCATAAGGGTGTTTCCAGTCACTTTGAAGCACCCATGCTGAACACACAGCTTTGGGGTTGCTTCACAACAGGATGTGTGAACACAGTGCTGTCAACTTGGCCTCTGAGTTCAGGAGAAATGGAGCCCTAGGGGCTCAGGTCCACCATCATGGCAGAGAAAAATGCAAATAACTGCACAGGTGTGTGCCCTAAACAGGTTGATTTCTTCTGCAGGGCAGTCCCCACCTCCTGTTGCAGTGTCTGCAGGTAAGAGACGGAAGGTACCTGCAGGGAGAGGCTCTCCCTTGCCCAGGTCCTACCACCCACATGGCAGTGCTGTCCCCACGACTGCCAGACAGCACCATCTTATATTGCTACATCTGAAATTTAATCTAAGCAAGCAGGGAAATGAAACCTGGAAATGAATCACTTCTTTTTTCCTGATCGGCACGCCTGGTTGCCATGGATCCAGAGGCTAAAATTGGACTCTGGCTGTTCAGAGAAGTAGGAGATGGGTTTTCTGAGCTGTACATAGCCCTGAGTACTGTACTTCCCCTGGGTCAGGGCTGGGATTGAAATCAGCCTCTTCTATTTTCACCACAGGTGGGAATGGTGCTGCCCAGTTTCAGTTGGGCTTCCAGAGGGCAGGAGACTCTGCCCTTGCCATGGGACACCACTGATGCAGCGCCTCTTCTCCTGCCTGCTCCGGCTGCAGCCGAAGGCTGTGCCCAAGGACAGCGGGAGCAGGGGGAACAGAGGCAGATGTTTCTCCAAAGCCACTCAGTGGTGGGAACTCTTCCCTGCAGGGAAGGGACAGTGCCTGAGGAGGCCTGGGGCCACACATGGCTACAGCACAGTCACGCACATCTCCACTTACAGCCAGTGCAGAAAAACAAAGAGAATTACTTCATCTAATGAAGAAATCTGATTCAGGGTGAGGCACACTGCACGGCCCAGGCTGCTCAGGTGAATCCCACTGGAGGGTGTCACTCAGCTGTGCCAGCGTTTAGCCCTGGGATAGAGTGACTCGGCCAAGGGACAGGTCTAAACCTCCTCAGAGCAGCTGTGCCCTGACATCAGCTCAGGTCATTTACACCTGCCCTTCCCAAAGGATCCAGCCAGGACATCCACAGCCAGCTATGCCTCACCTCTCAGACCTCTCAGGAAAGGGGAGCAGCTTCCTTCGGCACAGAGCTGTTTTCCTTAAGCAAGCTCTAAGCTTTGCACAAGTGTATAATTCTCTAATACTCAGTTTATGCAAACCAAATATCAATTGCTGCAATAAAAATTACTCCCAGCAGCTCCCTGAGTCTAAGGTACTTTTCTTCACAGATTTTTTTCATTGCTCCATATCAGGATAATCACCACACTTGTGGGTATGGTGGTGAATGGGAAGCCATCTCCATTAATCTACATGGTAAACAAATAAAATCAGAGATAATATTCCTTGTTTTCCCAAAGCCAATGTATCTGTTTTGTGCTGTTGAGAGAGGCAAAGTATCAAATGGTAATGGAAACAGAGAACAGTCTGCTAAATATTTTTTCTTCCACATTAAAAAATAAGCACTGCTCTTCTAACCAAGGACAGGAAATGTGGTTGTCTGAACTGAAATTGCTTTGGACTTACCCCTGCTGTTTCTTTGCCAAGGATCGCCCCAGCCATTTCCTGGCTCATGTTCAGCTGAAGCCAGACGGGACAGGTCTTGATGAGTTTGTCAAGGATGCTGATCCCTGGAAGCTGGAGGCAATTTCGCACAGCACTGGTCTGGCAGAGATGTGTCTCTTTCCCCTCTTCGCTGATATCTCCAACGGGGCTGAAACACAGCAAGGGAGTCCCTGGTAAGCAGAGCTGCAAACAGAAAACTGGGGGGAGTAAGGACTGTAAGTGCAAACACAGACATCAAAGGATGTAAGGACTGTAAGTGCAAACACTTAGGCATCAGGAATGCTCCTTGAGGGGCATCAAAGCACAGGCACGCTGTTCTGACAGCAGGCTGGCAGGGTTTGTGCTGAGCTCTGCTGGTTTCGGCTCACCCATCGATGCTGCCGAAGTCCAGGTGCCCACAGACACAGGTAAGGGATGCAGAGTGGTGCCCAGGGCCACAGAGGGTTGAGCGTGCCTGTCCCCTGGATGCCACCCTCCAGCTGAAGGGTCTGAGAGATGTTTCATGCCTTCAAAAGGAGTGATGCAGCAGAGGAGTGCCTGCAGTCTAATGGCAGACTGGCGCTAAATACTGGCTTCAAGCTATGGTGCTGATTTGATGAGGTCAATTTATACATGTGCTTAGCTCTGCAGGCGATGGAAATACTTGTGCTGAAAAATCTGGTCACAAGAGCTCTGCTGGATAAGACCATGGACTCATGGGGATACTGGCTTGTCATTCATTTGATTAATTGATTTTACATTTTAAGAAAAGGTAGGAGAACATACACAAAAAGTGTTTTGCTGCTCTAATTTCCTGCCTAGAGGTCAGAACTGAAAATAGGACTCTCATTTTTTATTTGGTCTTACTTCAAATATTTTTCCTTTTCCTTTTATTTTTAAAGATACAGATCTTAAGGTACTACATTTCAAATAAGGTCAATCTAAAATTTCTATAAGAGAGTAATTTCAAAGGCCTAACCTAACACAGCAAGTCTGTCCCAAAAGTCAGTTTGTGTAAAAATAGCCTTTCAAATCCCAAAAGCAACACAGAGATTTTATTTTTAGCAGTTTTTTTCTTTCTCAGCCCTTCACAGACAGCTTTCTCAGAAAATACAGGTGCCTCTGTAATTCAGGTTGTAGATTAAGGGTATTATTTCACAGAATCTTGATTTTAATCAATCCTTTTTAAAGATGATAGTCAAGACAGTAGGAATGAGAGAACTGTGCTTTAAAAAAAAAGCAAATTGAAATAAGTGAAACGCTCTCTTTACTTGTGATAAAAGCCCATCTTGTCACATAGGTGAGGGAATTTCTTTTAGGTGTAACAGCATGTGATTTTAATCAATATCATCTGAACATATGGAGAAAAACAATGGAATACAGCTTTTGGAAGTTACCCTCAGTCATCTCTTGGGGTTTTATTACAGAAGAAACAACCAAAAAAGCCTTTTAATCATCTGAAAGGAAAATATGTGTTGGATGGCAATATTCATACTCTGTAGTGGGAAAGAAGTAATGAAGGGAAAGAAAATTGACATATAATGACATGTTCCATAACAGCAAAAATTACTCCCCTAATTAGTCACAAAGACATGAACCTGATCACATCTGAATGATGTGTGAAACCTCAGTCAAAAGGAGGTCAATGCTGATAATGTCCTGCTGTGTCACCAAAAGGTGACATTTATGGCCTTAGTTCCTGACCTGAGGAACTTTGTTACCATTAATTATGTAAGGTGGGGTCAGCAAAGCTCTGATGCCCAGGAATCCCATTGCCTGGAGGGAAATGAGGGTTATTAACAAAGTCAGGAAAGTACCAAACCATCTTGGACATGCTGAGCAACAGGCACACAGCGACCCTGGCACAGGGCTCCCCACAGGAGGTGCAGGCATCCCTCCCTCTGCTCCCTCCCACGGGCACAACCTGCCAGAGCCCTGCTCACAGCACCAACTGCAGTTTGCCAACAAGAACAGGCTGGTGAGGAAAAATAACAGAACTGACCTTCCAATTCATGTGCCTGCATGTAAGGTCTAAATTTTGGAGAATGGATAGAAAGTTGAAAATAATTCCAAACTCAGGCTTACAAGATTAAGAAGTAAGAGCCTGAAAGTGCTTGCCCTAACAGAAAATCTCATTATTTGAGTGGGTGGAGTCTTTCAGTTCAACAAGTTTAGGGCAGTGAATAAGGATTTTTTTTTTTTTTTTTTTTTTTTGGCAGAACAGGCAGTCCAATATTTTGTGGGTCCTCAGGGATGAGGTATTCTCCCAAAAGCCAGACCTGCTTGAAAGGAGCTAAGCAGGCTCTTGTACCTGTAGCAAGGGAGGAAAGCACAGATGAGTTAAAGGGGAGACTGTGGCAAAAGGAGAGGCAGGAAGAGTCATTAAGGGGATCATATGGAATCAGGGAAATATTTGGTGAGACGTTTCCTGTGAGTGAGTTATAAGAGATGATGGATAAATTCCCAAAAGAAGAGGAAGGGGATTGCATTGCCCAAATCTCTTAAAATTCTAGCTTTGGAGCAGTAGCACATACTTTATTGAATCAAATCTGTACTGGCTGAGGACAGGGAGTGAATGACCTCCCAGACCTTCCTCAGCTGTCATGCTCTGACCCATGACACACCAGCTGACGCAGTTATGGCACCGTCGCTTGACTTCTGTCCTGGGCACAGCTGTCACAAAGATTTGGATGGGGCTGTGGGAATGCTTAATCCAGCAATTTAATCTGGCTCTGTGGTAGTTCTGTGGCTGCACAGAGAGGAGGGAGTCCAGGCAGCTCCTGGGCTCTTGCTGTGCTGCCAGATGAAGGAATTTCCAAGGCCACCATGGTAAGCAGCTGGCCGTTCTGATTTGCTCACTCAGAATTCATGCATCAGATGATTTCTAAAGCCTCAGTTTTCAAAAATACATAAAGCTCTGTTCTTGTCCCACAGTCCTGCAAAAACCTTTGGCTGATAGAGGCAGGGGCTCATTTTGCTAGGTGTGACATGAAGCTGAAAAGCTGTCGCTAGAGCTGCCTGCTTTCCTTTTATTGAGTTCTTACTGCAAAGTTCTTTTAAATCTTGCAGTGGTTCTAGGCTAAATTGGATTCAGTTGGGAAGCAGGGAGTGTGCTGCATACTGATTGGCAGCACAGACTAATTAATTGCACAGTGATTACATTCACACACCTGCCCCGGGCTTGCAGAAGGTATCAGGTTGCTTGTTGGAGGCAATAATAATGACAGTGGGGGTTTGAATTATTGCACAGTGACTGTACACTGCAGTAATGACCACCATGACTCACTGCTTTAAAATCCAGGAGCCACACTTGCCAATTGAATATTCCCAGAAGTCAGCAGATCGGCAAGGACATGTAATCCACTGAATTTTGTGCAGGTGAAAGCCTGAGCAAGGGGTTTCAAATATACTGTCACAACAGACCTGCTGACACTAAGGGCTTCCTGGCTGGACTATATGTGGCTGGTTACTCTGAATTTCCCTGAGGCAGCTGGGGCACACAGCAATTGTGTGAAACAGCAGCAGGGACTGCCTAGTCTTCACTTAAGTCACTTCACTTAAGTCTTCACTCCTGCACATTTGTTCTGAGAAGAGACATAATGTGTTTTTAAAATTAAATCTTAAATTGTAAATCAAATGCTCTGTAGTGCACTGGTAAGTAATGACGGAGTCCGTAGTATTGTTTAAACAGACCCAATTTAAGATTTTGGAGCTAGTCTTTTTTTATTATGTTTTATTGCTTTTGCTTCTCCCTCTGAAAATGAGAAGACATCAAGAAAGTGCAACAGCAATGGTCTGCTGTGCTGTCCTCAAGGAGAGAGAGACAACGGTATATGTATATGTATATGTATATGTATATGTATATGTATATGTATATGTAAACAGGAATCACGGGTCTTAAAATGTGTGCAAGCTGGCTTGATACTGAGAGAGAAATACAGACACTCAGTCACAAACTCTATGTGCCAGGTGATAGAGCAACTTTTTGCACCAAAGCTACCTGGTACCTGCAGGGATACCATTTGGGATAAGCCAGCTTGTGACTGAATCTGACATGTGGAAACCCTTCAAGCCCAATGGTTATAAGGAGCACTTGAAACAGGAGAAAAAGACAGAAGCTGCTGAAGCCAACAGAGCAGTCCTGATGGGAACTGATAGGCAGTGCTGTTAATTCCCGTGCTTAAAAGAGACAGCTGGGAGCGTGGAGCTTCATGGATATGGGGGAGATGACAGTGCTGAGATGGGTGAGACTGAGAGAAGACTCACAGGGCTGGTTTACATCCTGTGTCACAGCCAACCCAGCTGCACTCAGCTGCAGGGCTCTGTGCCACTGGCAACAGAGGCAGATCTCTGTATCCTTTTTTTTTTCATGGTCACCTTCTTTCCTTCCAGGAATAGGAGTTTCATGAACAGCAACTAAAGTACAAAGTTTTACCCATTGCAAGAAACAGAGCTGCCTAGGCTTTCTTTGGTTTCGTATCACTTCTGATTAGACAGGTGTTGAGGAGCACATTGAATGGAGGGAGCTTGGTGTCCATACTGCACAGACTTACCAAAAAGTCTTTGTTCAGACACATGTGAATTCATGTGCTGTTATTTTGAGTTCGCTGAGAAATTTTGCAGTGCCACAGCTACAGGACATTAAGCTTAATTTTTCTTCCATCCTAGAAATGGCCAGTTTTTGATACCATCTACTTACTCTCATAAGCCAGCCCATCATTGATCACTTCATCAATTCAGATAGAATTAATCTGAGATGGAGGAGAAGAATTCATTTACCCTCTGGATTTGCCTTTGGTCACCTTGCTGGGTTCTTCTTTCTTCCAACTGGTGTTGGAAGTGAAACCCTGAACCCAACCTAGCTGCAGAAAGAACTCTAACATCTTTGAAATTCTCTCATTTCATCATAAAACAGAGTATTAGGAAGATGGGAAGGCAGCAAAGTGATCTATTAAAAAACCCATAGCACAAAAGCTAAATTTGTGCACCAAACGTGAACCCTGACTTGCAGAAAATTCAGGTTTTAATAAGTGCTTTTTTGTAACAGAGCCAAGGGATCTTACAAAAGTCAAACCAACAAACTGGAATAAAATAACCAACAATGAAAAACCCAAAAGTAGAAAGAGAAGTTCTTGAGATCTTCAGGGATTACATCCATGTAACTGTCACCCTCTAGTAAGAAATAAACAAATTTCTTGTTGTCTGACAGGCAGAAAAAGGGGGAGAAGAAGTAGGAGGTAAAGCAAGCCATGGCATCTTCCTGCATTGCAAGGTTCTTGGATGTACAGAAAAACTGGATCATGGAAATTATGTGAGAAGCTTGGCATGTCCCATGAGGCAGGCTTGCCTGTCCAGTGTCCTCCCTACTTTGCAGAATGCTTGTCACTGGCCCACCCTGGTGACACGTTTATAGCTCAGGAAGTTGTGCTTCTCAGCCTGTGGTCTGTGGAAAGCCTGTGGTTGGCAGAGCACTTCCTCCTGCTCACTGGTCTCCTTGTTCCTCCTCTGCTGAATTGTCCACCCTTCCACCCTTTGGTCTTTGGTCTACACTTGATGCTCTGCATGTCCAGGAGTTTTGGCTCAGCCTGGGATGGACCAAGCTTAATAGCCAATGCAGCAGCTGTTCCAGCTGCCAAAAGGTAAGAAAAACCAAGGGTCTCCTAAATATCCTGACACCTCACAGCTCGGCAAAACTCTCTGGCTCCCACCTACTCTGCTTGCTGTTACAGGTGGTGTCAATTTCAGCAGTGAATTTTGCACTCTGCAATTGAATCTCAGTTCAAGTGAACTCTTCTGTACCTGCCAGGGATTCCCAAATGCCCACTCCTGTGAAGGCTAGCAGGTTTGCAAGCATCTGGGCCCTGTTTGCTCATGTTCATCTAAGTTTGCCAAAGCAGAGCAAGTCATTGCCCTGTTAGGGAGCTCCATTAAAGGCACAGAGGAATCAGGTGTGGGACAGCTAATCTACCCTTAAACCACTCACCAGTGAAAACCAACAGAGGAAGTTACAAAAATGAACAAGTTCTACTACACTTCATGGGGCAAAAAGGTGTCATGGTCACTTGTGCAGGTAGAAGAGCTCTAAATCATGTGTCAATTTATTAAGTAACAAGTGTGACACCAGACTGGTGTCTTATATACTACCTGGCTCGGCTTGAAGGTCTGATGGGTCAGCAGCACACTGGGGGAGCTGTGTGGACATGCACTGCAGAGCACAGCAAGGACAGCTGGGCTAGCTTGAAGGAGCTGAGCCTCAGGACAGGCTCTGCACAAACACATGGAGCTCCCTGGCAGAATGACTGAGCTCTGCTAAGCCCTGGTGCCCTGGCTGCTGCCATCACCAGGTTTAAAGCTAACACATGTGTTTTCCTCATTACTTCATAATGCAGGCAAAGGATGTGACTGCAGCTTATCTGTCTTTGAACTCTGTAGAGCCTTGCCCCCACTGAAAGGTGGAGAGCCAGGTCAGCTCTGCAGAAGCCTGGCTGGATGAGAGCTGCTGGTGTTGTGAGGGACATGGAACACTGTGCTCAGGACCAGGTGGTTCTCTTAGGGCAGGAGCAGCAGGGCCAAGTAACTCAGGAACAGAGAAGTAAGGGGTGCCTGCAGTGCTTCCCATGAACCCTCCAATGCTTCTTCCTCCTAAATTAATCAAGCTTAATTGTAAGTGCTTATAGAGAAGCAGCAGCAATATCCCTGTCAGACCCTCTTGTTTGACCTTGTCAACAATCTTTCAGCAAAGAGTTCTCTCAAGGGGTGGGATGCTGTAACTAAAT